CTACATATTTTAATGTGTAAAAGTTTGTCTATGGCTGTATACAGACAGTTGCCTCCACACATTTCTCAAGTCTTAGGTATTCTGTTCGTTTTGGTACTGGGAACTGAACTCAGGACCTCGTGCTTGCCAAGCAGGTGCTGTGCCCCTGAACTATATCCCCAACCCCAAACACCTTTCCAGTCTTCTTTTTTAGGTATTGGAAATTGAACTCAGGACCTTGCGTTTGTCAGGCAGGCGCTGTGCTGCTGAACTATATCTCCTGCGCCCTTATTCTGTGGTATAGGCGGATAAAGAAAACTAGGAATTTGTATGGCTATTTAAATGACTTAATGTAGACTAACCTCTGTTTTGAATACAACTCAGACTTGTTCTGTTTTTCAGTTTCTTTTTTAAAAACACGAAGTGTAATCATCTTATAAATCTTGAGTGTTCAGTTTGACATATTTGATGACACAGCAGATTTCTGTAGCGCCACAAATACCCTTAATTAGTTCTTCCCTCTTTTCCCATTTCCTAATTTCTATTATCAGTTAGTTTTGTGTTTTTGGATTTCATATATGTTGAATCATACAGTGTGTGTATTTGTCTTTGAGGATATAATTGAGGAATCTGGCTGTTCAACATATTTTTGAGATTTTTTTCCCGTTTTATTAGCTGATTCTCTTCCCTTATTGAGTAGTAGTACATTGTATGATTATGGCATAATTTGTTTATTCATTTTTTTCTCTGTGAATAGCTATCAGGATTGTTTTAGTTTTGGCTGTTATGATTAAGATTATTTTGTTGTTGTAGAAGTGTTTCCTTTGGGCGTGTTCCCCTCTTTCCTCTTTGGAAATAGGAGTGAAATTGCTGGTCGTGTAGATTTATGTTTAATCTTATGAGGAGTGACAGCAGTTATGGATTTTATATTTTTGCCAACAATATATGCAGAGTTTTCTTGTTTAGTGTCCTTGCCCACATTTTTGATTGTCTCTGTTTTTTTTTTTGGTACTGGAGATTGAGCCCAGGGTCTTTACATTGAACCACATTCTCAGCCCTTTTTAAAATTTTAGATATCAGGTCTCTCTGCACTGCTAAATTGCCCAGTCTGGGCTTGGGTTTGCAGTCCTATCTCAGCCTCCCAGAATGCTGGGATTACAGGTGTGTGTTGCCATGCTAGGCTGGTGCGTGATTATTTTGATTTGGTTTTATCCTTTTTTAAATTTTATCCGTTCTTATGGGTGTTGCTATTTTGTTGTGGCTTTAACTTGCATTATTATTATGGCAGAATCAGCATAGTAATAATGATACATACCTTTTCTTAAGTGTCTAAATCTCATACATCTTTTCAAAATTAGTTTCATAGTGTCTTTTCCTTAATTCATAGTATTTTTGTAAATATTCTAGATCTTTTTTAAAGTATAAACTTTTAAAAATATTTTTTCATATTCAGATATTAATATAGGGTTTGTTTTTGCTAAATAATACATAATGGGTTTGATTTTTTGAGACATCTAGAAATCTGATTGTTTTGAGATTCATATCTATAGTGTAGGTATGAATAACTTTATCAGTTATCTTTTTAGTTTTTAACATTGTTTTGAATGTTTTGCTTTACCTAATGACAGTAGATAATTTGTTTCACTGAATATTTAATGATATAGCATGTTACATTGTATGGTTTCCTAGGCCTCAGACTCTTTGGGGTTGGCGAAAAGGGAGCTCTGAAAGATCCAGTGTTTTCCCTACTTTTCATGTTATAGGACCCAAGTCTTGCTTGCTACTTAGGAAGCAAATACTCAGGAGACTGGAGATAAAGAGTTAGTGGGGAGGAAATCAGGTTTATTCAAGGACTGAGGTCCTGAGAAGATGGGAGGGGACAACAGTGCTTCCCCATTTTAGTGTATGTGCTGCCGAAGTGAGTACTTTGCCTCCCCCTGAGAAAGGCTAGCTTGGTGAGATCAGGTAATGCAGCAGGTTGTTTGAAGTGATATAAGGGAAATGTAACTCCCAGCCTGCTAGGTGTCCAAAATGCCGAGCTTCTGTTCTCTAAAATTGAGGAATGAATTCTAGGAACAGTGGAGGTTAAGAGTAGGAAGAATTTGTTGAGAGAAAGAGTTTCTGTCTGAGAGGGATGGAAGAGGCCCGGAAAATAGCTTGCCCACCAACCCCGCTTCTCAAGGGTGTTTAGGGAGCAAAGCCAAAAGGGGAGTTGGGTTCAAGGTGAGACAGAACTGTAATCAATCCGTAGGGTAAGAAGTACAGTTGCTTAGGTAATATTGGTCCAAAGGGACATCACTGAGTGTATTGAGGTGGGGCAAGAGTATGGTAAACATAAGGTTACAAGTATAGTCGCTTGGCTGATACTGATTAAATAGGGATCAGATTGGGAAGTAAGCTGAGTAGCAGGTGCACAGGGGCAGACAAGGACTTTGTTGGAAGGGATGGGTAAGGAGGTTTGGTTCTGTACTGCTTAGAATATCGGTCACTGCTGTTCATCCCTGAGGGCAGTACATGGGTGAGTAGTTCTTGCTCTTGAAGCCTGGCCTGCAGTGAATACTCCTGTAAGCACAGTTGTCTTCTGCATTGACCTCTCTAGAGCCCAGTCCTGTTTGCCTATATTTCTACCTGACTTTGCTGTCTATAATAAAAAGAGGGAAAAGGGGTGTAGATTGTGTGTGGGGTGTTCACCATTGAAGGCTTGTGTCTCCTTTTTATTTTTTTCTCTGGCCAGAACCTTACAGTTGACCTTGACCTCCTGAGGCTAGTTCTGTAATTCTTGAGATAATTACTTTTCTACAAGTTAAATCTTCCAGAAATGTGTATGTTTTGAATTAGATGCACAGGAGTAGAGTAAGAAGGAACAGTTACTAGAATAAGGAGAGGTGCTGCACATTTTAATGCTATCTGAGTTTCACCGGCTGTTCTAAGCTTTGTAAATTTAGAGAAAGGTTGTTTAACAGCCAATATCTTCATACTTTCAGGTGTGCTTAGTTTTTTTTTAGAGGTTTACAGTGCTGTGCAAAGGGAGGGGAAGTCAAAGGACAACTCAGAAAAGGTGGCTACGTTTACATTCATGGAAATTTCTCTTCACTGTGTTTCAGCCGTCACCATTATATCTCCTTTCACTTGGTGCCTGGAAATTGTAACACTTCCTGGGTTCTACTCTGAAAGAGTTTATTTTCTTTCTCATTTGAACTTCCTCTCTCTTCCTGTCCTGTGACACTTACCTACCTTTCCTGTGTCTCTGTTCTGTGGCATTTACCTATCGGTCATCTGCCAAAATTTTGTTGACAAATCATCTTTTGCTATGATCGCTTATTGTTTGTCCCTTAAATGTTGTTAGTAATTTTAGGAATGAGTAGAAATAAGTGTGTTACCCACATACACTTTTGTCTTCTTTTGTTGATGGCAAGTTTGTGAGTTTATTCTTGTGTCATTAACCGAGTTTTGAGGGACACAGCCATGCTATCTCTTCAAAGTTGATGTCTGTGAGTTAATGGCTTTATTTGTGTGTGTGTGTGTGTATATATACACACACACTAGTCATTCATTGTTTAACATGAATGACTAGTTTTAAAGAAATTGGGGTGCATTTTAAAATCGATAGTGTATCTTTAATTTTTTTTCTTATATAGTGACACAAAATAACATGTATTGCCTTTTTAGTATAGTGAAGTTTAAAAACTGTATTTGGTGAGGAAATGAATTTGAGATTTAACATGCTTCATTTGAAATCATAATACTAAAAACTATTTACTTAGATGAGATAATTGATAACATTTGCATTTCTTCAAAAGTTCTTTTCTAAGGCAATGTACGGTCTTTCTTACTTTTAGAATAGTTTTATTGGAGAACACTCCGAGTACAGGGCCTTAACACATGAGCACTGATTTTATGTGTTTGGATTTTAATTGTTAAAGAGAAGTAAATCTCACAGCTATAAGCATTGCTTGTGTATAAGCATGGTTGTTTCTGTTAATACAAATCCAGATAATCAAATTTTCTCTTATTAGTTTCATAAAGAAACAATTAATATTTTATTTGTTAAATTTATCTCAGGCCGGAGATTTCATTATTGTGTTAAATTTCTTTTCCAGCTGACTCATTGCCATGTACAAACTCCATGTTTCTGATTTTAAGAAACTCTTTTTTGCGGGGGTGGGGGAGATCTTGCTAGTTGTTCAGCCTGGCCTTGAACTCACTTTATGGCCTAGGCTGGCCTCGAGCTCTCAGTAGTCCTCCTGCTTCAGGCTTCCAAGTGCTGGGATTACAGACATGCACCACCATGCCCAGCAAGAAAGTCTTACTCACTTATAATTGTTAAATGTGTTTCATTTGTCTTCCCTTTGGCCTTTCCTAATTTAGTTAAGTAGAGCTACCTTTGGATCTTCCTTGTCCTATTTCTTGGCAATCAGTATTTCAGTTTTATTCTTTCAATGATCTTACTCAGGCTTTCCCAATTTATTGGATAGAAATTCAAATGTTCAAGCCTTTTCCCAGTAGTATCATTTGACTTCAGTGCTTTATCCATTTATATAGAAAATAAAGACAAAATGTTTAATACTGATACATTTATATCAGTGTACATGTTTAATATTGATACTCTTTGTTCATTTATATAATTCCCTTAAATAATGAGGTTAGGAACTACCTGCTCAGCTTCCTCAGTGAAAAGGAGGATTTCATTGTTCAGTTGCATGAACTACTGTGTTTTGACTGAAGAACTAGCCTTCATTCTCCTTTCTTCCCTCTTTTGTTTTTATGGCTCTTCATTTTCTTGAAATGTTGAACCGTGGGCCTGGGGATGTATATAGCTCAGTGGCAGAGAGCCTGCCTTGCAAGTGCAAGCTCCTGAGTTAAATTCCCAGTACCAAAAAAACCCTAAAACAGAAACAAAATATTGAACCATCTTAGGTACTGTTTTTTCTGATTTTAGTTTCAAACATCTTAAACAGTCTTTTAAAATGTTTTAGTTATCAATATTTTTCTTTTAATCGAAAGAAAATCTTACCTTGCAGAGTATCTTAAAGTGAGATCACATGACCCTGAGGAAGCTATCAGACATGATGTTATTGTATCTATAGTTACAGCTGCTAAAAAGGATATTCTTCTGGTCAATGATCATTTACTTAATTTTGTGAGAGAGAGAACATTAGACAAACGGGTAAGTAGGAATAAATAATTATTAGTGGGAGTTTATTTTTAATATGTGAAGCTTAATGGTATTTCATTTGAAAATATTGTTTTTCATAAACAGTAATTATAAATTGAGATTTGATGTATCTGAGGCTTGAAGAAAATGTTATATAAAGTGAACAGAAATGAAAAACTTGGGCCGGGAATATAGCTCAGTGACACAGCGCCTGGCAAGTGCAAGGTCTTGAGTTCAGTTCCTGGTTACAACCCACCCTCCCACATCAAGAAAGAAATGAAAAACTTGAAACCTGTACTTTTCTAAATGTACATAATAAAAGCATTTTTGTATTATAAAGGGGACTTTTTTGTTTTTAAGTGGAGAGTGCGCAAAGAAGCCATGATGGGACTTGCCCAGATTTATAAGAAATATGCATTACAATCAGCAGCTGGAAAAGATGCTGCAAAACAGATATCATGGATCAAGGACAAATTGCTACACATATATTACCAAAATAGTATTGATGATCGGTAAGTTAAGGGATATATATGAATGAGATAATTGGTGGCTGGGTATTAATACAACTTCAAAGTATAAAGACAACTTTACGCAAACAGTTGTCTTTATACTTTAAGTTGTCTCCTCAATTTTTACTACCTGATAGACAGACCGAGTGAGTAGTTTCTTTCACTGCAGGCCATAATGAAGCAATAATGTACACATAACTTTAGGGATAGGAACAAATCTTGTATTCGTCTTTGTACACTCACTATTTTTAAATGGAATGATGTCTAAAAGTAGGAATGTATATAGTTACAATTTTAATTTTCTTTCACAGAAATTTTATAATTTTCTTACTATAAATTACAAGGTTGTCATTACATTTTTAAAAGAGAATACAAATAAAAAGAAGTCCTTTGAGCTGGGCTTGGTGGCACATGCCTGTAATCCCGGCAGGCTGAGACAGGAGAATCCAGGCCAGCCTGGGCTACATAATGAGTTCAAGACCAGCCTGAACTGCACAGCAAGGCCATGCCTGTAATCACAACAGGGAAAGCTGAGCCTGGGCAGTTTAGCAAGACCCTGTCTCGAAATGAAAAAAGGATTGGTGCTGTAGCTCAGTGTGAAGGCCCTGGGTTGAAAGACCAGTTAATACTCCCATCCTGTCCTACTTAAATCTAGAAATAGTTTGTAGATTTATGTAAAAAACACATTATTGGGCCAGGGATCTAGCTCAGGGGCGCAGCGGCTACCTGGCAAATGCAAGGTCCTGAGTTCGATTTCTGTTACTGTTCCCCACCCCCAGCCCCCTAAAAACCACAGTGTCTGCCGGAGAGTGGCTTTTGTGTGGCTCTTAGCCGTGTAGTAGTTGACAGAGCCATAAGTCATGTCTGTAGTCTGAATTGATATGAGTAATTAGTAGTGGGATACAAATGATTATGCCTGTAGCGAGTAAGAGGGAGAAAAGGAATAGGCTTTATTAAAAGTGTGAGCTGTTTAGAAACTTGAGTATTTCAACTTTAAGAAACTTTAGGAAGTTATATTTGTAAAATTACTTGGAGCGTGTTGTGTCCGCACGCAAACATTAGCCTTACGATTTGATAGACATTTCTCCTCCCCTTGTCTTTGGTCCTTTTCTTTCCAGTTGTTTCCCATCTGGAAGCAGTACCTCCTTCATCTGTGGGTCCCTGTAGGTGCGGTGACTTGGTGCCTTCTCTGTGTGGGGAGAACTGGGGCATCAGCAGCTATAGTGGCAGCAACAGCTCAGGGCCCAGAACGCAAGAATTATAGGCATATGGCTGCCATTTGTACCTTTTATCTCACAGAAATTCACCTTCTACCTCACAGAAATTTGGCATTTAGAGGAACCTTGTGTAATTTTTAAATTCTTTATTACGCAGAGAAGAAAACTGAGTCCCCGATACTCTTCTTGTCCAAGTTCATGAAGTATTTTAGCTGAGCATAGAACTGTTTGAGAACATCTAGTTAAATCCTTCTCTGGACCCTGTTAGCCAGAAGCAAGGCATTGATTTAGATATCTCATCTTTAGGAGAGTAGGAATTTCTTTGACATGTGTTCTGTATATGTTTTACAATTTCATATACAAATGTAGTACATTTTAAAAAAATGAGTCAATTTTGTGCCTTCTGTTTTTTTGTAGATTACTAGTTGAACGGATCTTTGCCCAGTACATGGTCCCCCATAATTTGGAAACTACAGAACGGATGAAATGCTTGTATTACTTGTATGCCACACTGGATTTAAATGCTGTGAAGTATGTCTCATATATCAAACTTCTTTTTCATCTTTGTAACATGCTGGATTTTATAGAAAGAAACCGCAAGTAATTGTGTTTAAAAATAGTAACTGTGTTACCAGGGTCAAGACACAATAATCTTAAATATACTAAATTGTGTCGTCAGTATGAGATTAAGCAGTGTTTTTTTTTTTTTTTTTTTGGCGGTGGGGTGGGGTGCTAGGAATTGAACTCAGGACCTCATCCGCTTCCCAGGCAGGTGCTGTGTCACTGAGCTGTATCCCTGGCCCCTAAGCAGTTTCTTGTTTGTTTATAAGACAAAGTATCACAGTCCAGCCAGGCTGGCCTTGAACTTGCTGTGTAGTTTAAACAGGCCTTGAACTCACAATGATCCTCCTACCTCAGTCTCCCTGAGTGCTGGGAGGATTGCTGGGATTACAGGTGTGCACCACCACGCTTGGCTGATTAAGCAGTTTTAAGGATTTAGCAAGTAGTCAGATTTAATTGCTGTGAAATCTTTTTAAGATTTGACTTTTTTCCTCTCCAGATTTACATATTATTGGTGTCTAAAATGTGACTTATCTGTACCTTTTTTATTTTCCTTAAGGTGTTACAAAGGTTCATATTATGAAATTGCTACCTTCTTATTCTTACATGGTACTGTGCGAATGGTATAGTGTAGGGTGGTGAGGTGTACATTTTTGTGCTATTCATAGCCTCAGCACGGCAATATAGTTTACCATGAGGTAAGCACAAGTACACCTTTATTACAAAGCTTCATTCAAAAGGTACCTTTGTATGTCTGAGTGGAGAATTGTCATTTTAGACGTGGGAGAGACATGGATAATGTAATTAAATCATACTAAGGGTTAGGAAATTTAGGGCTAGAGATTTTCTCTAAGTCTTAGAAAATGTAGACTTGTAATACTAGGATAAATGTTCTTACAACCATGGAGATTTAAGTGTTCAGAAATTGGAGCCATATCTAGTTTTTACTTGTGTTTTTACTTAATGGGACTTTTGGTTTCATTTCTTGCCTGAAAATAATTATATGTGGTGTTGATATTTTATGTAAAAAATTACATTTTTTGATAGCTTCTGTATTTTAGGCATTAGAATATGAATTATCTGTGGTTGCTTTTGGAATACAATAGAAAAATAGTTGCAGTGAGGGCCTGTAGCTCACAAAACTTAAAATATTCACTGTCTGGCTTTTTGCTAAAAAACTTGCCAAGTTCCAGTTTGAAGTGATACTTTTCTTGTTTTACACATAATGACTTGTACAGACAGCAGTTACCTAGTGCAAAATCACAGAAGTAGTAGGAAAGTCAAGATTTTAAGTTAGTTCTATTTGGTTTCAAAAGTAATTCTTTTCACTACATACAGTGACATATATTACTATTACATTTAATTTTATTGCTTATGTAACCAGTTTTTCTCAGCACTTGGAACACATCCTAAAATTGTTGGTTTGTCATGGTTGGTGGCTTTTTAAATTTATGGTACAATTGTTAGCCTCTTAGGTTGAATGAAATACGATATGTATCTCCTATTTGAAACAACATATTTGTTGGAAAGTATCTGTTTCTTCCTTTGAGACAGAGCCTCCGTATGTAGTTCGTGTTGGCCTTGAACCCTCTATGTAGTCCAGGCTAGCCTCGGATTTGTAGTGATCTTCCTGCTTCAGCCTCCCAAGTACTGAGAGGCATGTGCCACTGTACTTCTTTTTTCAAATTTTATTTTAAAGAGAATAAAAAGAACCAATAACAAGATAATAACATAGATAAAAACAAAACAAAGCAAAAACAATAAAAATGATACAGGATTTCAAAACAAAATGATAGGAATTTGCAATGATTGTTGTATTACATATTGTTATCTTCAGTGAAGTTGCTCACATTACCAGATGTAAGAATGCCAGATTGCTCAAACCTTTCAAGAGAATAAAAAATAATAATAATAAAAATGAAATCTAGAAGGAAGGAAAGGTATGCAAAAAGCAAAAATTTCAAACATTTCTGCAAATCTAAATAACCACAGATTATGAAAATGACTAAGAAAATTTTCTTTGCAAGGTATGGTGGTATGAATTTAAAAGTAGGTAGCATCTAGGCTGATGTTTCACTAGCACACTCACGTCAGCCCGTTGTAAGCTTTCCAGGGGTTCCTGGCACTGCCTTTCTCACCCACCCTCTCCATGCTTAGGCACAGCAGGGAGGCTTCCCAGACCAGCTTCCATTGCCCACTGTTCTGAGTGATTGGTACTGTGCCTTTGTCAAAACATTCCATGTAAGAAAACAGGTAATAACTGAAGGTGTTATAACATTCTTTTATCAGGTAAGAACAAGGGCAGACGTGTTGGCTGATTAAACCAGTGATGGCGAACCTTTTAGAGCTTTCTTTGGTGCAGCCCGCTGTGTCATGTGTGCCATGGTGTCACCAGCCCTGGATGAGACCATGTGTGAGATGTGCATGTGAAAAATTTAAGTCTCCCCTAAAAGAATAGAATTAGAATTTAGACCTTTCAAGTCCAGGGGCAGAGTAGCAATTACTGTAACTTTAATACCAGAAGCAGCCTGTAAAACAAAAATAATATAAATATAACTTCTAAATAGTAACTGTAAAACTAAACATGTCAGGTATTACTCTTTATGTAAATGACAAATATATTTGATTAAATTTAAAAGTAAAGCCATAATTTACAAGAGGTGCTAAAAAATAATGTCACTGGAAAGCTGAAAACAAATTGAGTTTGGAGCCAGGTGTGGTAGTACCCATCTGTAAATCCAACACTCTGGGAGGCTGAGGCAGGAGGATTGCAAGTTTGAAGTCAGCCTGGGCAACTTCGGGAGAGCCTGTTTCAAAATAAAAAGGGTTGGCCTTCGAGCTCCGTGTGAAGGCCCCGGGTTCAATCTTCAGTGCTGGGGAAACAGGGATTTTAAAGAAGAGAATAGATATGCTGAACAGGGCCCTTTTCTATCACAGGAAAAAGGGTTGTTTTTTATGTTTTTGTAATTTTATTACTGTTACCTGGCAGGGTTTTGTCTGAGCATGGTAATGGACATTAACAAAAGTGTAGGTTATTGAAAATAAATGGAAAAATACTTCTGAGAAGTGTCCTTTTTACATTTTAAAATGTATGGCTGTGACACTCTGCACCCTAGTGTCTGTTTCCATAGAATTTCCTTTTAGATTTAAATTCCTGCCTGAGAAACAGTACAGCTGCTAGGGTGACATCAAGGTTGTTGCAATATAAAAAGAATATTCACTTATAGCATAAGTAATTCCAGACAGTTTATAATTTAAATCAATAAGATACCTGTTTTTGGGGAAAGTATCCCCATTCTCTCCTGTTTGTGTGTTTGATCCTGTTTCATCCCATCTACTATAGGACCCCATTCATTGATTAGTTAGCAACTTTGTGATCTCTCCAGTGAATTCTTGTTGCTTGGCCTACAAATATGCTTCAGTGAATGATGGGTCTTACTTTTGAGACAGGGTCTCGCTATGCAGTTCATGTGGCCTTGAGCTCACTTTGTGGCCCAGACTAGTCTCGAACTCACAGTGTTCCTCCTGCCTCAGCCTCCTGAATGAGTGCTGAATTACAGGCGTGTGCCACCACGCCAGGTGGCTCTTACATATTTTTATACAAATCCCTTCATCTCTTTCCTTTGATTCTGCTATCTTATTATCTATTATAGTTGACTCCTTTCTTTTGCCCAGATAGTATTATTTGCTTAATTCTGTGAATTTTACCTCATGGTTTATAATTTGAACCTTGAATATTCTGGAAAAATTTTAAATCTATTTTGTATGTCTGTGTGTTTCAGAGCATTGAATGAAATGTGGAAATGTCAAAATCTGCTCCGACATCAAGTAAAGGATTTGCTTGACTTAATTAAGCAACCTAAAGTAAGTTAAGTTGTGAACTTTTTTTCTGTTGATGTGAAGTTTGTAAGTATTTTATTACTGTTTATCATTGCTGCTGTGGTAACTGTGTGGACAAGTTCTGACTGTAGAACTTGATTCCTAATTTATTTAGGTAAGTGTAATTTTTAAGAAACGTAATTCGAAAATTTAAAATATGTACTATATCTGGGAAAGGTGTTGCCTAACAGGAAAGAGAATATGCTTCTGTGTGCTCAAAATTAAGTTTTGGTTTTTTTTAGTAGCTGTAAAACAAACAGCCGGGCATGGTGGTGCACACCCATAATCTCAGCACTCAAGAGGCTGAGGCAGGAGGATCGCAGCAAGTTTGAGGCCAGCTTGGGCTATATAGTGAGTCCAGGCCAGCCTGAACTACATAGCAAAAGCCTATCTCAAAACAACAACAACAAAAAACAAAAACAAAACCAGAGCATGTCATCATTAGGGTTACACTTCATCTTGCCACACTGTGATGCCCCCTCTTCCTGACACCTTTGTATGCTCTTGTGGTTTTAGAAATTTTCTGTAGTCATGTAATTATAGCTTAATATTTTAATATTTTTACCTACAATTATTATTGTGATTTTATTATCATACCTGGTTGTCCTACTTGTAATTGAGTGGTGGTGTTCATCCAGTGAATGTATTAATTTAATTTGGGACAGTTAGAGTGATAATAGGCCTGTTTTTCTCTGGGAATATTGTATAGTAGGCTGGTTTATGAACAGTATAATTGGAGTAAAAAGCAGTGTGCCCAGTGATGTTAAACTGTATCCAGGAAAAACAGTATAGTGTTACTCTTTTTTTTTTTTTTTCCAGTCCATAGTGGTCCTCCCAGACACTCTCCATCATTTATAGACACATCAGGTTTGTAGCACAGTGGTTAAAAGAGCAATGTTGTTTTCATCTAAGGGGAGAAAATTTCTAGTTTATCCAGGCATAAATTGACCAAATTGCCTAAAAATTCCATAAATTATCAGTTGTTTTAGTGATTTATAGTAACCCTTTCATTACTTCTTCTTGGACCTTCAAATGTAATTTGAAGGCTTATAAAAGGCATCTTGTGCCATTTATTTGCTTGATCGAAGGTTATGTTTAGGTAGTATTTCTGTTTCGTAGGTTGACAGTAACCTTTTCCTTTGGTCATTGAGTATTCTGAACCTCTTAGAGCATGTTTTTCCTTCTAATAAATGACTTGAAACTAATTTAATGATTCTGCTGTTTTCTTTTCCTTTAACCCCGTCTAAATTAGTGTGTTTCATCAACTAGTGTGTTTCAGTGAGTATTATGATGCAGTGTATCAGTTTATTTCAGTCAGTATCTCTGTGTAAAGTGTTTCCCTTTGTTAACTAGAGCTGTGGCAATTTATTCTGGCCAAACATACAAAAATGTTTCGTAAACATACGAGGTGTTCTTGTATACGTATGTATACAGTTATTGCTTTTAGGTATTACTGAAGTCATTACAGCTAGTTATGTTTGTAGATCATATTTCAAACAAGCATGATCTGTGAGATTGTAATCACATATGTCTTGATTCTCCTTGTTCTTTAATTTTATTTAGTGTGTGCTTCTCTGCTTTGCCTATAGATAAAAACTTGGGAGGGTCTAATGACTCTTTCTACTTTATAGAGTTTTCTTTTTGCTGGTCTTAAAAAGAATTACAGTGTAGAGTTGTTCACATTAAAGAACTTTTTTTAAAGTGTGGTAGGGTTGAAGAGGAAGCAAAACAGAGGTAGATAGTACCCCACTTGGAATTCTGTCAGTTAGTAGTTTCTGATTGTTTAATATTCACTTTATACTGAGTGTAGTAGATCTTACAGAGTTAAAGTTTGAAAGCGTGTAAAGGTGTGTTTAAATTCTGGGTGTTTCTCTTTTCTTCCATTTTACTAGGAAGATTTTTAGATATTTTTAACAGTTTATGCTGTTCTGCTTTTTTCATTATCCAATCTGTCAGTTTTTAACATTCAGCAGTACTTTCTACTTCATTGAACTAAATTGATTTGCACTGCTACTCAAAACTTACTTTGTAATTTCTGATATTGCACTTTGGGTGCTGCACATTTTTCATGTGGATCATATTTTGAAAGCCTAACACAACCTGTAAAGAAATCTTATATGTTCTGTAAAGTAATACATTTCAAAACTTTACATGTGAAGTATTTGGAAATTAATTCTTGTACTACTTTATTGTACTTGGTCTTTCAGTAAGCCTCTTCATAAGAATTATTTGATTTGCTACATTTAACCCAGTGTTCTATTTAGCTTAGCATTTTACAGAGTTGTTTAATGACATGTTTTTTGTTTTGTAAAAAAACAACAAGACTCTAATATCGTAGTCCTTTTTTTGTGTTTGTAACTGTACCCATAGTATGTGAATGAATTACATGCAGTACAACATGATGAGCACATTTATTTACTGAAATGACATTGCCCCGATAAATCTATGACTAGAAATTTTAGAAACATCTTCTAAATTGTATTTTCTGGTGTCTTCCCTATAAATTTTGTGTGACTATGCCTGAAACCCCCTCAACTCAATTAGAATTTACATTTGTGTCAGCTTTTTATTGAAATAAAGCTACAAACTTAAAGAAGCTTTTGTTTTGTTTTCTAAACTTACTCTGTTTTTTCTTAGTGCTAACAAAACTCAAAATATCTACCACCATCCAAAAATGTGTACTCATCAGTTTTTTGTTTGAGGTCTGAAAAAATAGGGGCAAGATAAGAGCTGGTGACAGTGGAAAATGAGTTGGCTTCTCTTACCCAGTTCATGCGGGATTTAAAAATAGCTAAAGAAGGATGCAGTACTGGTAAAGTTATGAGTCTGGAGCATTACTAGGTTATGCCCTACCTAATTTTTTTGAGGAGTGTTAATCTAGATTCTTACCAGGGAATTTAAACTTTCCGTTTTTGTTTGATTTACAGACAGATGCCAGTGTCAAGGCCATATTTTCTAAAGTGATGGTTATCACAAGTAAGTTATTTTAAATCTTTGTAAAATTTAAGTTTTGATTGATACATTTCTTATACTTTAAATTGTCTCAAGTAATTTTTCTTTCTTTCTTTATTCTCTCTCTCTCTCTCTTTCCTTCCCTCCCTCCCTCCTTCCCTTCCTTCCTTCTTCCCTTCCTCCCTTCCTTCCTTCCTCTCTCCCTCCCTTGAATCGAACTTAGGACCTTGCACTTGCCTGGCAGGTGCTTGTGCCACTGAGCTATATCCCTGGCCCGTTGTCTCATGTAATTTCATTTTAGGCTTTGATAAAATAGGAAACGAATGGTTTTCTTGATATACAACAGACAGCTTGGCTTTCTTTTGTTCCAACTTTACATATTACACAGAATTTTAAATTTTCTTCAGTGTATTATATGAGCAAGAGCTGAAGAAAGAATTTATCATATCCTATCTATCTATAGTTTGGCTATAGCTACTGTCCTCTAGAGGAAATTATCCCAATGTGTAGTCCAAGGTGGCCTTGAACTCACTATGTAGCCTAAGCTTGCCTTGAATTTGTGACAGTCTTCCTGCCTCAGCTGCCCAAGTGCTGGGATTACAGGCGTGTACCACCATGCCATGTATAAATTTATTTCTGAGAATTTACCTAAATCTTTATATAAGCTATTGCTTATATAAGCTGTATAAGTAAGCTATTGCTGTGGTGTTGCTTTCACTAATGTAGACCTATCTGAGGCTGATTTCACAAGGAGTCCAAATTAGAGTAAAAGATAAACCTACTAGCTACATAACAGCTTCTTTGAAAAATATTTATTTGCTTTTTGCTTTAAGTGATGTTCACTAAAATGGTAATTGCACTTACCGGTAAATGCAAGGGGAATGTGTTTTATTCAGTAAAAGAGTAGGTAAAAGTATGTTTTCATTGCTTTTTGTTTTCCCTCCCACCTCTGAGGTGACTGTGTATTGCAAAGCAGAGGGACACAGGGAAAATCAGGGGATACCAGGGGAATGAGTTTACTGAGCTTCTACTTGGTGGTAATGAAGAGACTGTAAGATTGGTCTGAGAAGCTAACTATTGCAAGGCCTGTGTGGACATAATGCTAAGGCACTGGAGAACCTAAGTTACCAGATTTTTGGATTAAGTGGTGGAGTTTTAGCAGGAATAGGTTTTCTTTTTTTGAGACAAGGTCTCGCTCTGTAATTCAGGCTAGCCTCAAACTTGCAGTGATCCTCCTGCCTCAGCCTCCCAAGGGCTCCCAAGGTATGTGCCACCCATGCCCAGCTAGGAGACAGATGTTTAACAATGAAGATATCTTTCAGATGTGGGTAAACCAGTTTTCAAGTCCTTTCTGATAACTTCTGAAAACGTGTGGCTTTGTGCTATTGCTTTTGTTTTGAAGTTTTGAGAACTGAACTCAGGAGCTGTTTGAGGAAGTTCTCCTGTAGTTTGGCTGTGGATACTATCCTCTAGAGGAAATGAACCCCTACAGACTAATTTTTGTTGTCCGCGGGGCTCTATCTGTTTTCTTCCAGCAAGTACAATTCCAAAAAAAAAAAAAAAAAAGGATTCTGTTACCAGATAAAATGCTGAATTAAAGGTGTTTTTTTTTTTTTCTTTCTTCCTCCTACTTCCTTCTCCCGCTCCTTTGCTTTGTTTTCTTAAATAGGCCTTACTGTTGCCTTTAATATGATCCTGCACATTATAAAGGGGCTTTAAAATGACAGTTTCCATTTATTTAAAGATATTGTTAAATTACATTTAATAATTAATTATTATTTAAAGATATATTGAACTATTCAAAGACATTACTACCTTTTCCTGAAGACTGTTAAACTCCATTGAATTGCTTCGGAACATTTTGTAAAGTGCTACACTGGGGTTTTCCAGCTTGCCCTCAGGGGCCCTCCACTTGCATGCCTAAGCTTATTACTTATAAATATATAAACATTTTCTGTAAGCAGTCATGTTTATCTGTTGTACTATAATGTGTTTCTTTTTATGTGCAGTAGAATTTTTCTTACAGAAATATGGAAAGGTCATACTGAAAGTATTTAGAATTAATGTATTATGTATTCTGATTCAATGATTCAGTCATGCCAAAATTGAAAGTGGAATGTTGGAATTGGATGTGAACTTGAATGATTAAATTGACTGTATTTAAGGTTCAGTTCAATTTCGCCTACGTTTTATAAAGTTAGAAGTTCTGTTATCAGTGTTCCTTTGGTCTGCTGTCCCATTCATCCCGCCGGGCCCCAGTGTGGTGCTGGTGTTTGCACTCAGGGCCATCACACTGAGCTGTCTTCCCAGCCCCGCTTCCACCTTGTTTTTTGTGACAGGGCCTCGCTAAGTTTCCTAGGCTGGGCTCCAATTTGCAGTCCTTCTGCTTCACCCTCCCAGAGTCCCGGGATCATAGGTGTGTGCCAGCGTGCCTGGCTACTCTGTTTTTTTATAGCACTTAAATATGAGAAAAAGAAAATGCTATGCTCAGCATTTTATTACTTTTCATACATGTTTTGATACATAGACACATTAGGAGAGAAATGTGAGGTTTTCTACAAGGGTCATTTCTCACTCAGTGAGAACATACCCCGCAGTAACACCAGAAAGAGCTTACTCAGTACTATATTATGTTGAAGCCATCTGGATTGGTTTAACAATACACTAGGAAATACAGGACAGTGGTTTCTTGAAGTACATGCTGATTAATACTTTGTAAAGAGGAGCTCATAGAAAGAGAAAGAAAATTAGATTATGTAGGTTGACATTTAATGTCTTTAAATATTATAGAGAGTTATTTAAAAATAGCCAGTTCAGTATTTCCCTGCTGCAGATAGCTGTTCATAATGATCCTGTTTTATATTTCTAGAAAGTAAATTTTGACTTGTGAAAATTGAGTGTTGATGGTGTTTGTTTTATGTAACAAAAATATGTATAGATAAGAATTATTACAATAGTAATGAAAATAAATGAAAAATATTGATGTTTTGTTAGTTTGAGAAATTTAAAAGGTGTGTTTTAATTGAATTTTCACTTATTTTAAGGAAATTTGCCAGACCCTGGCAAGGCTCAGGATTTTATGAAGAAATTCACACAAGTGTTAGAAGATGATGAGAAGATCAGGAAGCAGTTAGAAGTACTGGTTAGTCCAACGTGCTCCTGCAAGCAGGCGGAAGGTTGTGTGGTAAGGAAGGACATTAAAGAGTTAATGTCTGAAAAAGACCTCAAACAAGTGTTTGACTTTCCCTTTAGTAAAAGCAATTTACATTCATTATGTAAAATTTAGAAAATGTCACATCAATAACAATACAGATGAGGTACAATCTCTCGAAGGCGACATTTGCTGTTAATATTATTATGAATGAAATAAGGTGTATGTCTTTCTAAAATAAATAGATATTGTTTATACAGTTTTGTACATTTTATGTAATCTTGATCTATTAGTCTTTTATAGTATTTTTAATAGCTTCATAGCATATCATTCAGTATGTGTGCTATAATTTACTGAATAGTCCACTGGTATACATTTAGGTTTTTCTCTCACTTTTAGATTAATGTGGAGAACTGTATAATATCTTTATAATTAGTATCTATAACTTTATAATGTTTTATGTAGTCTTGATTGTTTTGTTTTGAGATAGGGTCTCACTTTGTAGTTGAGGCTAGCTTTGATCTTATGGCAGTCCTCCTGCCTCAGCCTCCTGAGTGCTGAAATTACAGGCGTGCACCACCATACCTGGCCATAGTCTTGATTCTTTATTATAAATTCATAGAAGTACAGATGTGTGAGTTGAAGGTCTTTCTTCTTGGTGACACTGGGGATTGAATTTAGGGCCTTTGCACTGAGCTGCATACCTTCCTCAGACTGTCCCTGCTCCTTTTTTTTTTAGACAGGGTCTGGCTCAGTCGTCCCCAGCTGGATTTAATTTGCAATCCTCTTGCCTCTGCCTCCTAGAGTACTGGAATTACATGGTGTGAGCCATGGTGCCTGGTTTTAGGTGCATTTTAAAAACCTTTAATATGTATGGAACAGCTGTTCTCCAGTACACAATTAGTTTCATACTAAGGACTTTTTCCTCACTGATAATATTGGCTGGGGTCATTGCTAGAAATAAATACACCCAAATAAAAACAAACCAAAAGCATAATTAGTTTGATACAAATTACATTTGTTGGTTGCTAGTTGTCTGACCTTCCTTTCTCCTTCAGTTAATAGCCATTCATATTTTTTGTTTTTTTGTTTATGATCTTAGCCTATTTTTATAGAATAGTATTTATCTTATTGACTTAGCGGTTTGTGATATGGCATTGCATTGCCTATTAAGTTACAAATAATTTTTTTATCAACTGTAGTTTGCTGTTTTATTTAGGATGTTCTTTATGTATATTAACTTCTATTTGTATCTGGCTGAGTCTATAACTGTATGCCTCAATTTTTTTTACCTTCTGTGTCCTGATTCTGAAATACCATTTTATTGCAAGTCAGTGAAACTATTTACTAATTTTAGTGTTCCTTAATCTGGAACCTTTGTGTCTTCTGAGATATTTTTAGAAAAAGATGATTGTTGATTCCACCCAAGGTTCACTAAAGCAGGCTTTTAGAGTGAGGTGCAGGAATACGTAATTTTAATGGGTTCTTCTGATACTTTTGCTTCTTGAAGTTTTTTTCGCTTACCCTTTGTTTTAGGTGGGGGACCTACCTATTAATATAGTTTTAAAGGTTTGACTTGTTTAGTTGGTATTTATTTCTGCACCATTTTTACATGGTTTTAAGTATTCGTAGGTTAACATTTTAATGTAATGATTTGTTTATGCATAGTTTTGTAACGTTTTAAAACTCTGTATTACAGCGTGAAATAACTAAAAAGTTGGGAAACCCTAAGCAGCCTACAAATCCTTTTTTGGAAATGATCAAGTTTCTTTTGGAGAGGATAGCGCCCGTGCACATAGATACTGAATCTATCAGGTATTTGTGTATAATGATGCTCAGTTTTCATTACTGTTTACTCATTTTATTGCGATCAGTCACTGGAGAGTATCTGCTGTGTGCAGAGCACCCAGACTAACTACGCATCTGTGTGTATTGATATTTACTTACCTATCTGTGTCTATATTTATGTGTACACGTGCATTCATCTATGTGTATCTTAATGTAGTTATTTTTTCTTGATTTTTATTTTAAGTGCTTTGTTCAAAGCGTGTGACAAGTTGTTTTTACGTGGTAACAGTGTACCAGGAACTCCTCTTTTTTGTCAGCTTATGTAGGTAGACTAGGACAGGTAAAATAAACAAGTTTTAGTTACTACTTCAGGAAAAGAAAACCAGGTGAACCTGTTACAAAGGAACATACGGTACAATTTCACAGATACTTAAGAACTGGAAATAGTTTTTTTAAAACAACTCTCATTTAAAATTTCAGCTTTGATCCCACTGAGCTGTGAGATCTTGGAAAATTTTTATGTCTGTATTTCTTTTGTGGAATGTTGGAAGAACATTTTTTTTGTGTTTTTAAACTTCTCCCTAAATTTTTAAATTAATTGTAATAAAGCATGCTAATTTACAAGTTATCATTAGTGTCCTTTGGGAGTGTATGTTAGATTCTGAAATTGACTTTGTTAGGAAAGGTATAGGGTATAACTTTTGGTCTTTACCTCTGATACTGCTCCAGATAGAGAGGCTGTACTCTGGTTATCTACCAGTCGCTCAGGGCTCCTCTCCCATCAGTTTTCACTTGAAGAAACGGTTCTGAGGTTTAGAAAACAAAGAAAGACAAAATAAAAACTAGACTACCAATAAGAAGAAGAAGGTGAATCAGACTGAAGTTTGTTATTTCTGCAAATAATTCCAATGCTGCTCTATTCAAGATAATTCTAGTTAGGTATTGGCAAAGAGTGTTCTCTGCTGTTCATCATCTTTGGATTTTTTGAGACAGGGTCTTGCTATGTAGTCCAGGCTGGCTTTAAACTCACTATGTAGCCCAGGCTAGGCCCCCCTGACCCCTGGTACTGGGAATCGAACTCATGACCTTGTGCTTGCCAGGCAGGTGCTGTGCCACTGAGCTAAATCCCCAGCCCCCAGGCTAGCCTTGAATTTGTGGCAATTCTCCTGCCTCAGCCTTTTGACTGCTGGGATTATAGGCATACACCACCATGCCTGGCTTTTGCTGGTCATCTGTCTTCTGTCTAGTAGTTGAATAAATATTTTTAATTAGACGATTATATTATAGTCATAAGATTAGTGCAAATAGAATTGATAGAACTGAAAGAGGATATCCCCAAGAGGAATACTTTACCAGAGAGTGAAGAATGGGTGAGGCTTGTCTCGGTAGACATGGAGAACGGATTATTCTAGGTGTTGAGCTTAGCATAAACCAAGCCTCCTGGATGAGAAAGAACAGGGGAATTTAGAACATGGTTTTCATCTGTCTTGGACACCCAAAGTTGAAGGAGGAAAGCTTTATCTGGCTCGTGATTGTTAGAAGTTTTATTCCATAGTTGGCTTGCTCCAGGGTAGGGTGACGTGGCAGGCACGCTTCGCAAAGTAGTGAAGAAACAGAGCAGCAGGCAGCCAGTGACAAGCAGGGACCCTCTTTTTGTCCCTTACATTCTATCCAGGCTACCTGTAGGGTGGAGAGCACTTATATCCAAGGTGGGGCAGCTTTAATCTTAGCATTGTAACATGAATTAATCCCAGCATCACATACCATAAATCCAGCCATCTCTGAAAAACTCCACCTGTGACTGCGTGAGGTTTTGGGTGGACATCTAGATACAAGCTATAGCATCATCTGTTTAAATTATAGTGCAGAGAAATACATGAATAGATCCTTGAGAAGTAGATTGGTTCAGATTATGGAATGACATTGAGACTGAGCATTAGAACTTCGCTGAGAACCAGAAATGGTTGAGATGATGAATAGGAGGTAAGTATGAGAGAGAGAGATGCTGAGGTGTTATTGTGAGAGTTTATCCATGATAGTAGGATGGAGAGGAAACAGCATAGCTGAGGGAGGCTTTAAAACAACCTAAGATACTTCCATCCCACTGCTTATAGGGAACAACGGCAGCATTAGAGATACAAGAGTTAAAATCTAAATAATGAAGAGCACACCGATACCTGGAAGAATGATGAGACCTGTTTTTGAAGGAGATGGAAAGGCTATCTTTCTTATTTGGATATGACAAACAGTTTTCTTTATAATCAAAGAATATTGAGTTCAGTATTAATCTGAGAATGGATTAGAATGCTGAGATTATATAGAAAAAGCAAAAAGATCATAGACAAAATCATGGACCCTTTTTTTTTGGAAGGGAGAGGTCTCCCTATGTAGTCCAGGCTAGCCTTTCCTAGGTTGGCCTCAAGCTTACGGTGATCCTCCCTCCTCATCCACCCTAGTACTGGGATTATAGGCATGTGTATCATGCTCAATTTTGGACCTTTTTTGTTTTAACAAGGGAGTAGTTACAGAAATGTAAGAACACCAGATTATGACAATATAGTAAAACTTAGGATGGTTGAAAGTTTTCAAAAGTACTGTTGGACAGATAAAGGACTAAGAACAGCCATTTGTTTTTCTTAGCAACAGATCACAGTGATGTTTAGTAGGTATTTTAGAATATAACAGTAGTACTTAGTAATTAGTGCTTAAAATATGTCTGGAGGATTCTAAGAGTTTTTCAAGTTGTTAACTCATTTCTTACCCTTGGGCCTATCATTCCCATTTTGCAGATAAGGAGCAGGAAGTTACAAAGATACTAAGTGAAGCTCAGGAAGTGGTTGTAGAACCACTTTATACACTTTATAATAGCTTCCAGGAAGAGTGTGCTTTCAGTCCCTTTTAGCAGTCAGCCAATGTCCTTTTCACCTGACTCTCCCTGACAGTGTCTGACAGTACCCTTTTGCCTATTCAGTCTCTGCATTTTATACATGGAAACGAGTGATGGTACTCTTTTTTAAAATTACAAAGAAGTGGAACTTTATCCCCAAGTACTTCTTGGCTAATTGCATCTTGTTGAAGAATGCCTGTTACTTTCCCATGAAGGCCTCAGAAGAGTTGTCTTTTCTTAGTTCATAACAAGAATACTTACAGGTTAAGGCTATCAAGGCGAGCCAATTTGTTTGCCTTTTAAATCTGTGCTAAATTGTTAAATTAATATATATTAAAATATATTAAATTCTATAATTCTGTTCATTATTTTCTTCCAGTTTTAGCTTTTGGCATCTTCTTAGGTTTTTTAGCATTTAAATCTGTAATTGGTCTGAAATGTTAGTATAAAGTATACATAGAGATCCAATCTTTTTTTCAAGGCACATAATAGCTAGTTTATATCAACTTCATTTGTTAAAAAATTGATACTTTTCCATGTGAATTAAGTTAAATTGAGATGTTTCTCTTTTTTGGAGATGGGGGTCTCACTGTGTAGTTCACTCTGTACCCCAGACTAGCCTCAAACTTGGAACAATCTTCCTGCTTCACCCTTCTGAGTCCTGGCATTACTGGTATGCATCAGCATACCTGGTGAGGTGTTTCTTTATTAAAGCATACATTTTTATATAATTTGGGCCTTTATTGGAATTTCTTTTTGGTTCCTTTGTTTTCTCATGTTTTCTGATATATTTTTACCTAATAGAGGATATTCATTGGTCTTCCTCCTCCTAAAATTTATTGGTTGTTTCCAAACATTAATTCTTCCAGGTGAGCCGTAGAATGCATTTATTGCATCTTGTCTCACACCACATGACATATAGAGTCTGCATTATAAATTTTTATTCCTAGTATTTTTATATGTTAACCTGTCATGGTGAGTAAATTTTCTCCCTTTGTGCATTTTACGTGTCTTTTGCTGATATAGAAAAGCACTATTGATTTTTGAGTGTTACTTTGGTGTCACCTCTAAATTCTTAGGATTTTTTAATAGTTAAAAAGATTTTTAGTATTGCAGGTTGATGTTTTTCCTAGAATGGCTCTTTAGTTAATTGCGAAATTGTATTTCTTCAGAAGCTGCACTTGCCTTTCCTAGTTACCTCATCTGGGGATTTCAGTGTTTTCGCAGCCTTTTTTGTAGTTCTTACTGTTCTCTGATGACCGTTTCTTTTTTTTTTTAAATGTGTTTGTTCATTTATTTGTGGCCTTCCCTCACTAGACTTAGAGCTCCATACACTTAGCCATGGAAGAAAATAAAAAGTTTCATCTTTGGATATGTAATATTTTATTGCTGTAGTACATTTATTTAGGTGAAAAATCATAGTGCTGTTGAAAATAAGGGAATTTAGGATGATTTTATTTAGTGTAGTTCAGGATATGAGAATGATTTAATGTGGGAAAATGATGAAAAAAGAAGAGAAAACAACCTCAGAAATACGCTCTTGAAGGGAAGATAAAATTTCAGTGGCCCTTGTGAGGGAGGCAGATACACTTGAGTCCTATCTTGACATTAAATGTGGGCACAGGTGGGCTTTGTGGCACATGCCTGCAATCCCAGCTACTCACAAGGCTGAGGCACAAGGATTGCAGACTGGAGAGCGGGCTGGGCCCCGGAGAGAGACGCTGTCTCAAGCATGAAAGAAGGAAAGGTCTGGGAATGGAGCTCATTGCTAGAGCACTTACCTAACGTAGTTGAAGCCTTAGGTTGGATCCCCAGTACAACTAAACCAAACCAAGGCAAACCAAAACAAAGTAAAATACAAGGACAAAAATTGAATATATGTTATTGTAGAAGTATTTTAAGGAACACTGAATGTAAGTACATTTTTTTATTTTGATAGACTTTTTGTTACTTTTTTATAAAAGCAAAAGTCTATGAGTTGGGTAATTGTCAGTGCATTTCAGCTATTTTATTTTTTTCAGGTGTTTATTTTAAGGAAGTATAGGCTTTTATTTTTAGAAGAAAGGTTGAAAAACTGAGTTCACTTTTTCATCTATTGCTGTTCTTTTTCTGATCTTGTATTTTTAGTCCTAGTAGGCTTGGGATTTCTAGCTCTTAACAGGCTGTGCTTGATATATACTAATATGTGGTAAATAGTTCGACAGTGCTTAATGTTGTCTTTTTTCCTGTATTTCAGTATATTTTCTCTACTAATTATACTAATGATGAATGCTAGGTAATTAAAATATAATCAGTCAGTATGTGTTTGGGATTAGATCTTCTATGGAAAAGACAATAAGAAAGATACAGCATTAATAAAAAGAAAATTAAATAACATTTTTTACTACATTTGAATGGATAAAGAAAACAACAAAAAAGAGGCTCAGTATTTTATTATTGTTATTTAATTTTTGGGAAAGAGCTAAACTAAATTCATACGTGGGGTGTGTATATTTAGGAGGTTTTGTATGATATTGCTAATAAATTGACTATAAAAAATGACAATTTTTACTTGTTATACTTTAGTGCTCTTATTAAGCAAGTGAACAAATCAATAGATGGAACAGCAGATGACGAAGATGAGGGTGTTCCAACTGACCAAGCTATCAGGGCAGGTCTCGAACTGCTTAAGGTAAATATCTACTTAATTAATTAGATAACTGTTAAACATTTAAGTTTGTGTTATTTGCTCCTGAAGTTTGCTTCTTAAATGTACATAATGAAAGGTGATATTTTCCAGTTATTACAGGTAATTTACAAATTGCAGGGACTGAGGTGGTGGCTTGCCTAGCACCAGCAAGGTTCTGGGTTCGATCGCTACCACCTCAAAATAAATAAATACAAAGAAATTACATGTTTATTTCAACTTGTGTGCTGAGTATTTTCAGATTTACATTCCATTATTTAGCTTAGTATCAATGACATTAAAACAGAAGCATGATTTATACTAGTGAGCCAAACCTTAATATCTCATGGTTTCTTTTGTATGAGAAACCCTGACTACAAAGAGCAAAATAAAAGATAAATAATAGGAGGTGGGAGACAGGTCTTTCTTCAATGGGGAGGGACTCAGGAGACGAGCCAGGGAAAGGCGGTGAAGAACGAATTAAGATGTGCTATGTACATGTACCAACTCCACACAAGGAAGGTAACATTGTGCACTGCAGGCACGTGCTTTAAAAAAAAAGGTACTGGTGAGCAAAGAAAGCGTTAACCCCAGGACAGAAGGCACAAAACCCGTCTTGAAGCTCTATTTTGATTTTGATTTTGTTAGATAAGATATACTAATGCCTTTTATTGATTTTGAAAGTACAATCAGCTCACTGTTCACAACTTAAATATGTAAGACTATAAAGAACAATAAGCCTTTCATAAACATTAGTTTTTTTGTTTTCTTCTAATCTTTAAAAGTTGCAGTTTAAATACAGTTTTGTGTATCATTCATTCATTCATTTATGTATTTTGGCACTCAGAGTGGAACTCAGGAC